CACAAACATATATACATACACAAACATATGTGCATACGTACAAATATATATACAACCATATGTACATGCATGAAAACATTGCTGTCCATAAGTACATTCATATGCCCATCAGTGCATCAACGAAGCCCGTTTGGTTCATCATAAATACATACAAACATATGTACATACCAAGTAGAAATCGGCTTATGCGTTCAGACGAATGCTTGCTATATGAGTGAATTAGTGTGAACAATTCATGCGCAGTCATGAATTTCCACGAATAAATTCAAATTCTAGTGAATTGCAAGCGAATTTACGTCGTTGTTTTTAGTACATTTCTTGATAAATTTGAAGTGGAATTTTTGTAATATTTTCAGTCTTGTACAAAAATTTTAGTGAACGGACGTGTTGTGCGATACAATTTTCAGCACAAACGGGCTTTTACACGATATGCATTTGCATATGTAAGTGCTACTTTTTTGTATGTCCCCGTACATTGAAATATATCAGAGAAGTAGCATTTACATACGGGGATACATATCTTGTAAGAATGCTTTAATACTGTTCCATTAATGCATTTTTGTATGTTTGAAACATTAATACAGCCATATGCATACAGCAGTAGTACAAGTGTATGGTTAGCGTACGCATACGCTCTGAGAAACCACGCGTGTTAAATGGAAATGAAGGTTCATTTATACTGGGATGTATACACAGCAGCAAGCTCATGCCACCAACAGCAATGTCGTATGCATACTGGGTATGTACGAATGGATGTAGTTACGCGAAGCACGCTTGCATCATTTATACATATCTTGCTTGGTAGCGGCAGAGCTGAAATGCGCAATGAGTTCGTTCATACATACATATATATGTATACATACATACGTGCATTCAAACATACATATATACAATGACGAGCAAAACTGTAACATGGTGTAACACTTTTTACTTCAGCCATCGCTATCTTTTCAAATTCTAACGACTTTCATACTTTTGTTGTATATTCTTGTTGGTACATCCCTACTCCCTCTCTCATAACGATTTGAAGTCAATACAACAACAATAAAAAAACCAGCAGACAAAAATGTAAATTAAGGCAGATGCTACAGTTTTCACTCATACATTTTGAAGAACTTTTTAACAATTTTCACGAAAAAAAAAGAACTACTAACACAATCTTCAGTACTCTTTTGCTTGTTTCAGTTCCTGGATACGATTTGGCATACATTATTTGTATCTCTGTAAAAATTCTAGAGGTATATCCTTAGTTTCCTTTCACAGCTCATGTACTCGATTCTACGGACTTTGATACTTATTAAGCTGTGCTTTTAGTTGATTTCGCAAATTCTCGATGAGATTCATGTCCGCGGATTGTGGAGGTCATTTCAAAATAGCAAATTTTTGCTTTTGCATCCAGTCTTTGCGAACATATGCAGTATGTTTTTCAGCAGAGACTCTTATTTTTCGACTACATCTTGCAAATTTTCTTGAAATATGAACAGATACTGTTCCTTACGCATAATGTGTACTAATAGACCAAGAAAATTTTTGAAATACAACCCCAAACTATTATTGACCGACCACTGTTATTCACAGTTTACCTTACATGCTGCGCATGGGATTAATTTGGGTCTTTGACCCAATACCATGCCCGGCCATCTGATTGAAAGCGATTAATTTAGTCTTGTAAGACCAAATAACCTTCAATTGAAATTTAAAAATATGTTTTTTATTGCGTTCTGAACGGCCTAACATATCCCAATAGGCAACGGATTGGTTTTCGTACGAGGCAGCATAATGCTGCCACTCTCGCACATGTATTTTGATCAAAATGGTTTTTTCTTCTTTCATTTTGCCTTAGCGTTCAATTTTACAATTCTTCGCCTCGCTGTCTACTGATTTGCATTCAATTCATACCTTAAGCGCTTCTGTAATAGTGGCTGCATCGCTACCTGCTGCTAAGTTCACAAGATATCGTACCGTAATATTTTTTTACAGACTTCCTTTGTCCTTGAGAACACTTTAGGCTATAGTTGTTCTCATTGTTAACATTTTCAAGTAGCAAATTCCACAATTTGTTGCCACTGTTCGTGCGGTCCCGCCTTTCCGCAGTAAATCTATTATTTACATTTATGGTTCCTGATTAACTATAATATTTACTGGTGATCACTTCTTCAATAAATTAGAATAGAGCAAAAAGTCATCTTACTTCCAACTAAGTAAGAGATTACTGTCAAATGCGAAACTGAGAGTGAGTGCAAAACTGTAACATCTGCCTTAATTTACATTTTTGTCTGCTGGGTTTTTTATTGTTGTTGTATTGACTTCAAATCGTTATGAGAGAGGGAGTAGGGATGTACCAACAAGAATATACAACAAAAGGATGAAAGTCGTTAGAGATTGGAAAGATAGCGATGGCTGAAGTAAAAAGTGTTACACCATGTTACAGTTTTGCTCGTCACTGTACATATGTAGGTACTCGTACTCGTCATGCGTCGTTTTATTTCTTTTTTCCCCTTCCCTATACTACCTATATCTTCCTTCTCACTCATGTAACGTTTTCAGTTTTAAAAATTTCACTCTCTATTTTTGCGATACCGCCGCCTAAGAAGTTTCACTTCAATAAATTTAAATTATCTAGCTTGTTACTTATGTTAATTTTGCCATTTACTTTGCACTCCACCGTCTCAGCGGCAACCGATTTGAACCCGCAAAAATTTTCCGATTTCCGAATATTGAAGCAAGTAGTTTTGCGACTTGAAAGTAAAACGCAAAATATTTGCGATTCCGAAAATGGGAGCACGGCACGGTAAGTTTTAATTTTCATTTAAACTCGCTATATCTCAGACGTTTGTTTAACGATCGATTTGAAATTTTCACACAATAAACTACAAACTATTTCAAAGAATTTAAGTTTAGCAACACTTCTTCAGTTACGATCGAAACTAAAGGTTTTCAAACTTTTTTATGCAAAAGTTATGTTATAAATTATTTTTTTTTTTTAATACACGAAATATTTAAGGAAGTATTTGTAAAAGTTTCAGATTCAAACATCAAGTAACTCCAAGGTTATAACATTATTTAAGTGACGCACACATTTACCGGTATAGCGCGCTCTAAAAATGTGCGCTCGCGGCTTTGACAGTTTCGATAAGGTTCATTTTCAAAACATGAATACCTCCGCAACATATTTAATACAATACCCGCTTTCACTAAGAAATCGTCACCAAGCAGAGTGCGGTTACCTTCAGCATCTGGTAGTATTATGAATTGGATGTTAATGTTGCGAACACCAATTAAAATTGTGCATACGGTTACCAAGCAATTTTACCTAGATACGCTATTTTCAAAAGCGATATCAAATAACATTTTGGTACATGCATGGTCCATCACTCGCTTCAAGTTTACGCTTGCTGCGCTAACTGTTGTTTTTGTTACGAGATAAGAAATTAGCACGCGGGACGCCAGGTGCATTATATCCACAGCATGCAAACTTCTGTTTAGCAGCTACGGCCGCGGCAATTGTGGCGGCGTTTTGCCTCACTCGCATCACACTTCTGCTTCTTAAAGTAAGTTTCGCGCATATGCCTTTTTTTGTGTGGTAAAAAGAACATCGCGAACTTTGTTCTTCCGGTTTTGTGAGGGTTGCGCGTTCACTTGAAAAGAGTTATGCTTCGCGAGCATAGTTGAGCAACCCTTCGTATGAAAATGGCTCACTATTTCCCTTATAATCGCGCTTACCATGTCAAACCACTTATCAATTTGATAAGATTCAGTTGAAATATTGGAAAACCGCGCAAATACTGCTCGCTTTTATTGCATATACTGCCAGATATCTGAATATGTAGGCCAAGAATTTGCAAAACAGAAAAACATACCTAAATATGTAAGTACGTAAATAATATAAATACTAGAAGCAGCTTGTTGCAAAACTGTCTTTATTATTATTTAAATTGCGATTAAAAATTTGCTCTGCTGCATAGAAGTCTGATGAGGAAATGTGGTGATTTCCGAAATAGCTATCACTTCTACCATTTTTTCAAATTATTGTTGCTTTTCCACAATAAATTTTTTCATTTAAAACGGCCTCGAGCTCAATATAAATTGTTGAATATAATTGTTATAAAGGCCAAAAAAATAACAAAAACAAATAACTTAAGGACGAGCACACCTAAAAGTTAAACATTCTAAAAATAGAATTATTAACAAAAAACCAACAATACCAACAACCACATGATCAAGTGAATTGCAGCGGAATAGCTGCGCTTGATTGTGTTGGCATAGCAAAAATGAAAATAGTGGAAAAAAGCAAACGATAACACTATGCGACAGTCAAAATCGGGATGGGATGAAACCTACGGGAAATCTTATATAGGTCAAAAACAAGTTATACGTGGCCCGGCGTTTCGCTGGGTCACGTCTAGGAATCGAGATATATTGATTTGAAGTTAGTAACTATCATATAGGGGAAATTGTCACCTTTGGTGGTCTTTTTTTTGACATAACTCGAGAACCACTAGTCCGATTTTGCTCAAACAATTTAAAAAAAATGTAAAATTACAATTCCTTTAATCTGTTAATATAACGAAAAAAAAAATTATTTTTGCCTAAAAATTAAAATTTTTATTTCATAAAAAATCCAAAACTGAAAAAAGTGTCACGTAAAGTCACATAACTTATGAACAAAATGAGACATACATCATGAAAATCAATGTATGCGTTTCGCTTTTATTCAAAATTAAGTAAAGGTGTGAATTTCAAAAATTTGCTCGAGATATGCTCAAAATTTCTTTGGAAAAAACATTGATGACTTTTTTTATAATTGTCAGAATTAAAAAAAAAGTAATAAACAAAAGGTTATTTGATTTTTATGGTAGCGGTAACAAACTAAAAAACGGTCATAAATGTGCGTGGACAATTAAAAGGAAAAAAGGAAAGTGCACTTTTTTAATTATTTGGGTTTTTTTCGTTGGCTACCTGCATGATTTTTTTACACAAATTGCACCCATTTCATCAAGTCCATTGTGAAGCAACCGAAAATTCTTGATTGTTTGAAAAATATTTTCCCACCAATCACCGAAGCAAAATTGAAGGAAGGTGTTCTGAATGGGCCGGATATACGAAAGCTCATGAAATCAAAAGAACTTAAAGGTGCTTTAGACGGTAATGATTAGTCTGCGTGGAGGGCAGTGAAGAAAGTCATTCGATATTTTTTGGGAAGTACGCGAGCACACAATTACCCCGCTCTTGTGACCAAGATGTTGCACTACTTCCAGAAAATTGGAGTGAATATGTCCCTCAAAATTCACTTCTTGCATAACCATCTCGAATACTTCAGCAAGCAGCTAGCCTCAGAGTCGGATGAACATGGCGAGCGCTTCCATCAAGTGGCAATTCCAATGGAAACGCGATATAAAGGCAAAAGGCTCGATTCGCTGGTGGCTGAAATTTATTGATGAAGAAGAAGAATATACAATGGGAGTTTCCTCCGAGGGTAAGTCACAAAAATGGAGTTAACTGACTGATTAAAAACAATTGATTTTTTCCAGATGTAGACAGATCCTCATCCGATACAGACTCTGAACAAGTGGGCGAACCACCACGCAAACGAAAATAAGTTTTGCGTTCATCGATTTTTATAACCTATGTATCTATGTAATAACCTAATAATTACCTGTAATAATTTTTAATTTTACGTGTTTATAATAAATAATACATAATAAATATTATCCAAATTCATTGAAACATAAAATCAGTATTCTTGTCAAAATGAGATACCTTCACTTAATTGTGAATAAAAGCGAAACGCGTCCATCGATTTTCATGATCTATGTCTCATTTTGCTTAAAGGTTATGTGACTTTGCGTGAAAGTAATACGACTTGCCTTTTTTCCGTTTTGGATTTTTTATGAATTTAAAAAATAAAAAAATTTAATATTTTAGGCAAAAAATATTTTTTTTCTAGATATATTTATTTTTACCGGCAAAACTGTTGATTATATAGAAAAACGTTATNATAAAGGCCAAAAAAATAACAAAAACATATTATTTTTTTAATTAAATGGATTCATATTCTGGTTCAGCGGTCTCAAATTAATCTTAAAGTTTAATTTTAGTCATAAAATATATCTAAAGTAATGTTACTATATGCTAGTAGCGCATTTTCTAACTAAAGAAATACCACTTTTCTCCCATTTTCTGCAGGCAATATTTTCACACTACATTAGCTAAATTTCTAAACATTCAATTGAACAAAGAATAATAACGCGATCTCACCCGGGGATACAACAAATTCCTTAATATTCAACAAAAATTCAAAAAATACACTCGTTGAAACCCGCTATTTTCGTTACATTTAAATTGAACTTTTGCTTAATAAAATTATTAAAAAAATTTAACACTTAATTGCATTATTACCTTATGTATGCGAATCCATCACCACTTTTTAAGAATATAATGCAGAAATCAAAATATTAACTTAAAACCGTCACGATCTTTCAAGAGAGCGAAAATTTATTTATTAGCAGCGTTAGAATATTCTGTTTCTGGTCAACGGTGAGCGTTCGCTGTACAAGTAAGAAAAGTGAGGGGGACTGGGAAATGTTAGTTGGAATGTACTCGATCGAATGTAACTAATTTTTTAAATTTCCTTAAAAATTTTGTCAAATTGGTTTATGGCCGTCAAAATCGTTCAAATACCCCTATGTGGAACGTTACACCTTATCTAAGGATGCCAGTCAAACAACTGCGTTCGGAAGCATATGTGTCTGAATTTGAAAACTATGGTCCGGAAATTCCAATCAGCAATTACTTGTCACATTCAAAGATATATCTTCACCAGACGCGCAGACACCAAAGCGACAGAAAGAACTAGCTCTTTTTCCCAGCCTTGTCTGTAACCGAAACTACGAAAATGACAATGACAAAGATTACATGTGGATATGTTCCATAAACTTCAAGGTGTTAAAATCGACAGATAGAGCTAGTTTAAATCCACAACAGAAGCAGCAGATAATGTCATTTCTGCAAGCTAATGCAAAAGTACATATTTGGTAATAAGTATGTAGTACTGAACCAACCCCGTACGCTGAGAATCGAATTGAAACAGGTGACCACGAACCAATTTTTATCAGACGGCCAATTTCGTCGCCACTCGACTCACATACATGCTCTCTGAGAGCACTCCTCAACAAACCGACCCGATCATTAAGTACCGCCGCCGAAGAAGTAGTTGAATTTCACCGAGCCGGAAAAAAAACTGGTACAATGAGGAATGTCAAGAAGCCGCAGAGAAAAAAGACGCCGCCTATAGAACCCCGCTGCAATCGGGCGCAACGCGAGCCATGTGGGACCGTTATATGGAACTGAAGAAGGAAGCGAGACGTATTTGGCGCAATAAGAAGAGAGAGGCCGAAAGACGTGAGTGCGAATAGTGCGAAGAGCTTGAAATGCTGGCCGACTGGAAGAATGCCCGAAAACTTTACCAGAGAGTTAGGCGACTTACGGCTTTTCAAGAACAGGGCGTCCTCCTGTCAGAATAACAATAGCGACCTAGTTACCGATGTTCAGAACGTACTTAAATTATGGAGGGAACACTTTTCCACCCTTCTGAATGGTAGAAGCACAGAAAGTTGTGGAGAAGAAAAACCTGAGCCCCCAGTCGAAGATGATGGAGTCGATGTTCCACCGCCTGACTATGACGAATAGCAATAACGCGGCTGAAAAACAACAAAGCTGCTGGAGCTGACAGCCTGCCAGCTGAGCTACTGAAGTACGGAGACGAGGAGTTGATAAGGTGCATGCATCAACTCTTACTCAGAATATGGTCAGATGAACGCATACTCTGCCCAATCCGAAATAAAAGCGACCCCGCTCTCCGCTACTACTACTGCGGGGCCAGCCTTATAAGCAGGGAACGGATTTTTAGGACCTAAAAACCTATAAAAAAGGCAAAATAAAATAACGAAATAGGCTGGAAAAGGCAAAATAAAATTGTGAAAAAGGCAGGAAAAGGCACTAGGTGCTGCAAAAAAGGCAAACCAAAATAGCGAAAAAGGCACTAAAAAAAGACAGAAAATACGAAGAACAATCAAAAAATACATTTATTTTAGAAATGTTTATATTACAAGCAAAAAGAGAAAAACTATGAACTAGTTTCATTAAATGAAATATTTGTACTTTGAATCCTTGACTATTTTATCCTTTCGAGTTTCTAACTCATACAACTTTAATCTGTATAGTTGTAGTAACATTGAACCACAAGATGCATTTTGAAGTTTTCTGGCATCATTTCCATTCGATTTTCGCTAAGAAAAGCCTTGAATGTACTAAATGTGCGCTCGGCGTAAGTTGATAGAAGTGAAGCCCAATTTAAATATGGAACGTTTGAAACGTTCATATTATCAGGAATAAGGGCGTTTTCCTCGCCCTATACAATTTTATCCACACTCCTTATTGTCTCCAAGCCTTCGTTAGCTGAGAAAACGGCTTTGAATTTTTCCAACACCAATTTGACAAGAGGTCTCTGCGCTCCTATAAGCCGCATGGGCAATGTGTATATTTTTTAATCTTAAAAATAAAAATTGTAAATGCTATAATCATTTTTTTAAAGGTAGAAAAGGCAAAAAAAGGCAAATATCTTAAAAAAGGCAAAAAAAAAGGCAAATATCTTAAAAAAGGCAAAAAAAGGCAACATCAAATGTGTATATATGGAATCAGAGAAAGCTAAATCATGGACATTCTTAATCGAATATGCTCTATCTCGTTAGCAGAAAAAAAGGCAATTTCCATAAAATCCGTTCCCTGCTTATAAGCATAGATTATAAGATCTTATCGAGTGTAGTGTGCGAAAGACTGAAATCCACCGTCAACGAACTGATTGGTGTGGCTTAGGCCTGGAAAATTCACCATAGATCAGGTATTCACAATACGCCAAATCTTGGAAAAGACCCGCGAGAATAGGATCGACACACACCATCTATTAGTCGATTTCACCATAGATCAGGTATTCACAATACGCCAAATCTTGGAAAAGACCCGCGAGAATAGGATCGACACACACCATCTATTAGTCGATTTCAAAGCCGCTTTCGACAGCACGAATATGGTTGTTTTTATTCCGCGATGTCTGAATTTGGTATCCCCGCGAAACTAATACGGCTGTGTAATATGACGTTGAGAAATACCATCATCTCTGTCAGAACTGGGTAGGACCTCTCCGGGTCGTTTCATACCAAACAAGGTTTCAGACAAGGTGACTCCCTTTTGTGGTGAACGAGGGCAAAGCGAAGTATCTCCTGTCATGACACAAACAGTCAGAGAAAACGTGTCTTGGCACACACGCCACTGTTGAAGTTAACAAGCTGGAAAAAGTAGACGACTTCGTTTATTTGGGAACCAGTATTGACACCAATAATAATGTCAGCTTTAAAATCCAACGGAGAATCACTTATGCCAACAAGTGCTACTTTGGACTGAGTAGGCAATTGAGAAGTAAAGTCCTCTTTCGTCGTACAAAGATCACACTCTATAAGTCACTCATCATGTATGTGCTGTTGTATGGCGCCTAGGCATGAACAATGAAAACATCTGATGAAGCGGCTCTTGGAGTTTTTGGAGAGAAAGATTATGCGAAAGATTTACGGACAGACCTTTACGTGTTGGCGATGGCGAATACCACAGACGATTTAACGATGAGATGTATGAACGCTACAACGATATAGATAGAGTGCAGCGAACTAAAATTCCGCGGCTCCGCTTGATTGGCCATGTCGTTCGAATGGACAGCAACGCTCCTGCTCTGAAAATATTCAACGCGCCGCGATGCTAGTAATAGAGGAAGAGGAAGGCCTCCTCTGCGTTGTAAAGGCCAGGTGGAGAAACGCTTGGTTCACTTGGCATTTCCGATTGGCGTCAGTAGGCACAGAAGGGAAATGACTGGTGTGCTGTTTTGGTCTCTGCCAAAATCGCGTAGGTGGTTAAAGAAGTAATAAATAAAGAATACTTTGAATGACTACCATATCGATACTTTCGGGTCGATGTCGTGTGCCTAACAACGTAGTACATAATAGGTACATAAATGGCCGCCGCGATTTTGCGACTTACACCATTGGACCTTTTTTATGGAAAATTTTTATATGCGCATCCTGTTTTGCCAGAGGAGTAGTGGTGAGTATTTAACGGATATTGTGTTTCATACATTAATTCCATAGACTAAAAAACATAAAGAAATAAAAAAAATATTTCGGAAAATTTTGTTGTATTTTATTTATAAGAGACAATCTTCGGTCTTATCGAATCACATATTAGCTACGCGGTTCTTTAATTCAGATAATTGATTTGAGTCTTTGGCACCCACTTGAGTTATGAAATATTTTTCGATATCGGCCACTTCCTTATGCCAAAACTCAGATGGCAAGCTAAACAGGTCCTTAACGTCAATCGATTTTTGTTGTCGTTCTATACCTTCGCTAGGCAAGTAGCCGATTTTCGAATCCCTAAAACAAGTTTCCCCATGTAGACACCTACAAATCCAATATAATACACGCGAATTATCACCAAATCCGGGCCACAAAAGTTTACCATCGGCACCTTTGCGAAACCAGTTGACATGAAACACTTTTGGTGCTTTTCCTCTTTTCTCCATGCTTAGCCAGTGACGAAGATATTCTCCAAAGTTGTAACCGGAAAAGGGTCGCATTTCAAATGGATCATTCATAATAACTTTTTATTTGCGCTCAGCGGCTGCTGTGGCCTAACTGCGCATAGAAGCTCCTATAAATACACCATGTGCCCAGTTTCGAGCTTCGTATACTAGAGGGACACCTTCCGGACGACGTCCGCCAAAGAGTATTGCGCTTATCGGCACACCTTGCTGAACTTCCCAAGCAGGATCGATAATACGGCATTGAGCAGCAGGTGTACAGAAGCGAGAGTTCGGATGCGCAGCAGCTTTTCCCGAATATTTAAACCACATGTTCCCAAGCCAGTCAGAAATTATTATAGTATTGTGGGATTCTTCCTACCCTCCCAGTATGGAGGGGTGTAATATGGGTGTCATCATAGCTAAATTGGTTTTGCCGCATGCGGATAAAAATGTTGTGTGGAAACGTTATGTTGCTTTGGTGAGCGCAAGCATTTTACAAATTGATCATCTCCGGTGCGTAGTTGCTCCACAACTCGTTCCCCCACGCGAGTCATTATTTTCATTGATTCGACGACGTATGGCGAGTCCGTTATTTCAATACCAATCTTCGATAATGGAGAACTTATTGGACCCATTGAGAAAAGGATGACATACATCGTCCTACCACGCATACTATTTGGTCTTGAATAGCCTGATTTTTATTCCTCCGTAGCGTTCTTTCGCCAAGCCGAAGTCGATAAAATGATCGAAGCTGATATCGTCGCAGAATGGGAGTCACCGTGGGCATCTCCCGTTGTAATGCTACCGAAAAGAACCGGTGGAATTCGTGTCTGTATTGGTTATAGATACAGCCTTATGCTGTATCACGAACCATACGCTATCGTCCGTGATACAGAATAAGGCTGATGAATTTAACCTGTAACCGTGCCAGACAGATATCCACTACCCCGAACGGATAATCTAATGTTCGCAGCAGAAAGTACTATATATAAGACAACATTATATCTTCAATGTGGTCATTATCAAATAAAGGTTAATGATAAAGATTCTTACAAAGCTTGTTTTATTCCGCCTTTTGGACAATATTTGATTAAGAAAATGCCATTTGGCCTGCGTAATGCACCTGCAACGTTCCAGTGCCTTATGGATAGTTTTAAAGCCTCCGTTCTCAAGGCTGGTTTTTCTTTGGTTTATCTCGATGACTTAATTGTGTGTCCTCCTTTTTTTTTTAGATCATCACAAAGATATCGGGATCGTTCGCTATAAATTACAGGAGTATATGTTTCGCATAAATAATAGTGAAAGCCGATTTTGTTGCGAGAAAGTGAAGAATTCGAAGAATTTTCTCACAACTGATGGAATATGTGTTACTCAGGTAAAGACGTTTGCCACTAGCAAGAGATAAGAGCCGAAGCATATTAAAGAGCTCATTTCATTTATTCAAGCGTGTTCTTGGTACAGAAGGTTCGTTCACGGCTACGCCGCATTATCGCAACCATTAAATACAAACCAAAAAGATGCATTTGAAGCGCCTAACGCCTGCACCTATTTTAAAACAGGCTAAAGACAACATGCAGTTTTGTATAAAAACCCATGCTAGTGCTTACATATGGGCAAATACTAGCGTTTCGGACGTTACGTTCGGATGTTTCATTTAATTTTTTTGTGGACAAAAATATTATAAGTTAAAATTTTTTTGTGGTATAAGGGCAGGTTTATAGCAGTACTTATGAAAATAATGAAGTTTGCAAAATGTGATATAAAAGCAAATTAAAGGTTGGATTAACCTTAAAACAATTGTATATGGGCATTCCCATGGTGGCGCACGTGACAGTCGTACGATTTCAATGTGATACAAAAAAGGAATACCATTTGTTTTCTTTAAGTTTTTTGGGCCATTGTGTAGCACATAATTAGCTCTATATTTAACCGAAAAATGAAATCAATCGAACTGCTTGGTCCTGAAATATAAGCATTTAAAGAGAGTGTCGTTACGTGACAAAAAATGGAAGTTGATTTTTTCTTTTCTTACAAAATCGCAAAACTCTGCGAATTGTGGATGGCTATTTTCATGAAACTTATTTTAATATGATTTGGAGCAATTCTAGTTGTTTTTAGAGTTTTTTGAATTAATGCAAATTGTTTCAATTCTATTTTACAACGCCAAGTGTGAAACGTGACGTGACGTGGCGTCACGTGACATAAATTTCCATCGTTATATTTTTGTTAATATTGCTTTTCTATGAATTTTTAACGCAAATAAAACTTGTATTTTATGTAGAATATACTTTATATTTTGACTTCAGCGCCAATTCAGGGTCAATTTATTAGAAATCTATGATTTATTATGTTTCAACCACGTACGCCAAATTCGAACCAAATCGGACCATAAATACGGTTTTTCGAAATATCTCGACCTTGGCACCACCTAGGAAGACCATTTTATGCAAACATGATTCTACTTACATAGCCAGTATATACTTTAAAAAGCAGACAAATCGGCCCGTAAATACGTTAGATATAAAACTTTTATTTTTTTTGTCGTGGTGGACCTTCCGCTGGAAACACCCATATGTGCGTTCGGGACGTTACGTTACGGCAGAGCTTCTTAAAGTGTGTTCCGCGGAACCCAAGGGTTCCGTAGAAAAGTCACCGGGGTTCCGCGAGATCAATTTTAGTATGAATAAGCACGGCGGTCGGTTTGAGTTGCACACAGAAAGAAATGTTCTATAAACAGCTTGGCCCAGACGCAATTATCTATTTTCAAGTATACAGACATATGTACTCGTAGTTGGTATGATTACCGTACTAAGTGCCATACCTACATAAGAGCGTTGAGCTTGCGCTTGCTAGCTTATTTTTTGTAACCGGTATGTGTTGTTGGCCGCTGTAGCTAAAGGGTTATATACAACTTTCTATAAGGAACGCGATGAATTGCCAAATGAAAGGTGAAGTGTCATAACTAGGCACTTGGTACATAAATCACCTGAAATCTTAGTCAGATTATTTTTCGGATGGTAGTAGTAATATCCGTTTGGTACAAAATCCATTTACGAAGCGTTCATAGATCTCCAGAGTATTTCGACAGAGTTTTGATTTAATGTCAAGTGTAAATATCATGAAGTCGCTAAAAAGGCCATCTAAACTTTGCTTCCTTCTGTCACAACGTACTCTGTCAACAGGGTTTTTAGCTTACACTTATACAAAAACATATTCATGTCGAAATTTGATGCTACTCCAGAAATGCGCATGCAGTTTTCAGACATTATATCGAACTACTATTTTATACAATAATTAATAACAGTGAAACAATTTCTTTCTTCACATTAAAATTTAAAGTATGTATACTATTTCTAGTAAAAGTTTTTATTCATATTTAAATTGCACTGTAATTAATGTGGGGTTCCATAAAATGAAAGGTGTTTAGTAAGGGTTTTGTCGACCGCTGTGGTGTAGTGGTAAGCAGTGCGCGTTTTCACTCCGCAACGCCTGGGTTCAAACCCTGGTCAAAGCAACATCGCAAAAAAAATATAGAAAAAAGGTTTTTTCTTAACAGCGGTCGTCCCTCGGCAGGCAATGGCAAACCTCCGAGTGTATTTCTGCCATGAAAAACAGCTTCTCATAAAAATACAATCGCCGTTCGGAGTCGGCGTAAAATTGTAGGTCCCTCCGCTTTGTGTGACAACATCAAGGCGCACGCCACAAATCGGAGGAGAAGCTTGGCCAAACATTAACATATGTGTAAGCGCCATTCTATTATTAGTAAGGGTTCCATCATCTTAAAAGTTTAAGAACCCCTGCGTTACGGACGTTACTCTTTTTTTCGTTGAAAAAATTTATTTATTTAAAGCGATATTGTCGTATTTTAATAAAAGATATACATAGTGCTTAAAACCAATGCTGTTTAGAGCTTTGTTTCAAGAAGTAAGAGGGGCAAATCGGATTTCTCAAATAAATGTGAATAGAAATATGAAATAGGAATATGTTGTACTATGCCTTTTTTTACACAAAAATTAGAGAATTCGAATTTCATGCATTTTGTGCTAGGAGCAGCTTTACTCTAGGGAGGAGTTAGCCGCTAAAGGAAATTATTTAGTCACGGAGCGCGAAGCTTTAGCTATCGTGTGGGCATGCTCAAAGTTTCGAGGATATATCGAAGGAACGGAAATAGTTTTATCAACAGTCTATCAAGCTCTAAAGTGGTTACCTACAACAAAGTCTCCATCTGTAAGCTTAGCACGATGCACAGTGTTTCGACTATATAAAGGCAGGAAGATTTCGCTGAAACTTTACATGTGTTCACTTATATTCAAAATATGTATTGGACATTTGTATGCTATCAAAATGATCCTGAAATCTCTTATAATACTTTATGTAGTAGAATTTGAAACATTATATCATGTGTTCCTTTTAGGAGTATATCGTTTATTCCCACGTAATAAATCCCCTTGGTTCAACTCCAGATCATGTCACTTAAAAATCGCTTAAAATAAGGCATACAAACCAAAAATTAGAAATTCAAACCTAATTGCTGGATTTCCACTTGGAATTAAATGGCAAAACTTGTAGTGACAAAGTTGGGCATCAAAAAATATTCGTGTCATTACGTTAAAAAATAGTCATTAAATTCATTTCCACATGGCATTTTTTAAATGCCTCCAATTTTTTGTCATTTTAATGCCTAGTGCAAATTCGGCATAGTGGCTGATCACCAAAATTTCCTTCGATTTCTGCAAACATTTTTATATAAACAGCATTTGTTAAAAGTATAATCTAAGTTAAGATCTATCCCTAACAGTTTTTGACATTACATTAATTCCAAACAAATTCAAAACAAACTGGTAACCTACTAGTCTTTTCTATGAAAACTTCGCATCTGACAATCCAGTTGACTCCTACAATCTATTCGCAAATTGTTTTCAGAAAGTTTATGAAAAGTATGATCCCATTGGTAATCATACATTCGACAGCTTGCCATTAGACTTCATTAAAAGTTTAGATATTACGTCTGATGATGTCGTACTTGCAATAGGTAATCTCAGAACTAGTCATTGTTTAGATCAGAAGTTCCCAAATTTCTTTTTCCCGTATTTGTGTTCTATTTATTAAAATAAGTTGCAAATTAAAAAAAAGAACTCGTAAGCCATCAAAGTACTATCTTGCTCTGAAGATTTATATTTTTGACGTGTATACATCTTTGGTTTCGGTAGGGGTAAAATTTGCGAAGCTGTAACGCATAGCCCAGCAGAAAAGTTCGAAGGGCTTAGCATGTGTAATGCAGCAGAAAATTTTTAATTTCATTAGAATCATCCTGTGTTTACTTGCTATTGCCAATGGTTGCTTACATTTAGGCGTATGCAGAGTAAGAGGAAATGCGGTACATATGATTTTTACTTCCGATTATGGAAACACCGCGAATGCATACGGCTATGTACCCATACATATCTATACATACTTAAGTTTGTATGTACATACTAGGGATGTTGCGGGTGTGGAATTTTAGACATCCACGGATGCGAATATCTAACAGCTAACATCCGGATGCGGATGCGGATGCGAATGCGGATGTCAAGTATTTTTAAAAAACAATTAGAATCTAGCGTAATGGCGAGATCGTTGTTTAAACAGCGCTTGCAAGCCAAACCAGATACATATGTCATGTGGTTTCAGA